TTAAGCAGCCAATGAAATAACATGTGATTATGTGTAGGGACAATCTGTTTACTGCCTCCCTCCCATTTCTGTAAACCTGCTCTAAATGGTATACAGGAAAGCTCCTTTATTCTTGGGGCTCGGCCTTTGGACTCGAGTCTGCTGAGTCACTGCCTTGCTTGCTTAATAAACTTGTTTCCTGAAAGCTTTGGTGCCCTCTCAGTCTCTTTCTGAGCCCTCCTGTAGCAGTAGTGGGGTCTCAATCAGACTGTGGCATCACCCACAAGCCAAGGCCATGGCTGTCTGCCCAGGCAGAAGTGTAAACTGGAACCAAACTGCTTTCACACCTCCCTGGACCCCCATACCCTGCCCCCAAATCTTGGGTGGGCCATCCTCTCCATGGGAACTTCTGGGCTGCTTCTCATGAGAGGGCAAAGGCATGGAATAGCACATCTTTATGAACTCTTATTTATCTCTTCTCTCCCTGTTCTCTCATTCGTTGTGTCCCTGTTCATCCCCTCCAACATCCACATCCACATCTTTCGGGAATGCGAAGAAGAGGCCAGTACTTTTCGGGAATGCGAAGAAGAGGCCAGTACTTCCATCCCTACTGAGAGGAATTGGGGCAGGGGGAGGAGGAGTGGAGGAAGCAGAATTCAAAGGAAAAGCTGTGTCTGGGGAAAGATGTGACACTGATAAAGAATGACCCATTTAAGAGGGCCATGTGGGGCAGCCCTGTGCTCTCGAGCTTTCAGCACCTGAGCTGTGTGTGTGTAAACACACATGCACGAACACACACTCACATTCACACATGCTTTTCTGTACCCACACTCTCTAAGCACTCACTGGAAGTTGCCAGAATTCAGGCCAGGAGCTTCTCTCAGGAGTGTCTGCCTCTCTCTCCTCTTTCTGTCTCTTTTCTCCATTTACAAAGGGAACAATGATGAAAAGGGGTGGTGTTGGAAGTGTGGCAGTTGAGAATGGAATTGACCAAGAAAGTATGGATCCCAGTACTCAGGAGGCTGAAGCAGGAGATCACAAGTTCCAGGCCAGCCTTGGCTACATAGTGAAACCCTGTCTAAAAATCTGCTATACTGAGCAGTCCCATAATTGCCATGTGGGGAAACACAGTGATGGAGGAGGGGAGTGGAGGCAAGATCCATCCTTTCTCCCATTCTTCCCCCTCTTCTTTTCTTCCCTCCCCAAAACTTAGTGGGCATGGGACACAAGGCGAGCTCTAGGCTAGGTACAGGGGAATTGGTGTATAAGGCCTGCAGTTTTGTAGGCCAGCAGGGACATGAAGCAGGGCAGAAGGCCCTGCCAACGAGTTTTCCATCCACCTCTAAAAAAGGGGCTTCAACATCTTCCATCAGACTCATTCCAATTTCTTGCCTTGAAGGTCTGTCTAAGCTGAGCCTACCCTAGCCTCTTCTATGAGGGGCAGGGAATTAAATTAACATTTATCTTAAGTGGTCTTTTCATTTTCTCTCATTTCTTTCATTTAATGCATGTAATTCCATTTCCCAGATGCAGAAACCAAGGCACAAAGCAGTAAGTCGTCTAAGTGGTAGCTGGGATTCAGACTATGCTGCCCGACGCTCCTGACCGTCAGACGGTGCTGCCCTTCAGGGAAAGGCGAAGAGAAGCAAGAGAAATGGAACGGAGTCTGGTCATCGTGAGGAGCTGGTACAAGGGACCAACACTTGAAGGGCTGTCAGGAGACATAGACTCAAGTCTTGATTTTACAATCAACCTGATTGTGATTTTGGGAAATTCACTTAACAAATTCCATTTGAGAATTTGGGTGAGATATTCTCCAAGGCCCTGTTACTTTTAACAATCTATGACAAACAAGGAACTGTTTGCATCCTAATGATCATGCATACTAGTGGCTTAATGAACACTTTTGTGCCGTACTTGGGGTTGAACTTAGACCTCATGCTTGCTAGGGAGGTGCTCTACCACTTGAACCATTCCACCAGCTGAGTTGATTTTTTGTTGTTTTTGTGGTACTGGCATTTGAACTCAGGCTCACGTTTGCTAGGTGGGCACTATATCATTTGAGCCACTCTACCAGCCCTCTTTTGTGTTGGGTATTTTTGAGATAGGGTCTCGCTTTATGCCTGGGTCAGCCTGGACCATGATCCTCCTAGCTGGGGATGACAGGTGCATGCCATCACACCCAGCCATGAACTTTTTGCCCAGGCTGGACTCAAACCAAGATCCTTCCAATATCTACCTCCAAAGTAGCTAGGATTACAAGCTTGAGCACTGCACCAGGCTTAAATTCTAACACATTTTAAATGGGAAACAGGTGAAATAGGGAGACAGGCACATTCACAGGCCAAGCCATGACTGGAGAAAATATGAACTGGTATGGGAGGGACCCAGTTGAAATGGGCCTGCAAAGGAGGAGAGAAGCATGGATGAACCCTGCCACCAGTCAGTTCTATCTGGCACTTGACAGGCCAGCTCCAATGAATGAATGCCCAGGCCCAGTGATGGCAAAGGAGAGGCGAGAAGACATGCAGGGAACAGGATCCACTCACCATGACAACGTTGGCCAGATGGGCAGAGATGAGTGCATACACCCCTCCGGAAGAGCCCACGACAGGTGCGGTCATGTCAGCCACAGACACAGCCAAGGACCCTGGTATAGAAAGATGGAGAATTGTCAAGAATGGACTTGGCTGCCCAGCCTAGGCCCTGCCACCTGGGCAAAAAATCTCTACAGCAAGACACTTCATCTTCTCCTCCTTTGATACCACATTGTCTTGGTGCTTCCTGTGGATTTCCCAGAGGACTGGTTTATGGCAGAAAGAACTACTTGATTCAATCTTCACATTTTACAGATGGGAAACCAAGGCTCAAAGAAAGGAAAAATGAGCCTGTGTGGAGGTACATGCCTGTAATCCTAGCACTTAGGAGGTAGAAGCAGAAAGATCACAAGATGGAGGCCGGCCTGGGCTACACAGTCAGAACTTGTCTCAAAAAAGACAAAAAGTCTGACTTGGCCAAGGTGGAACTTAAGATTAAGACCCAGGTCATCTGCCTCTCCTCCCCACCTCTGCCTGACATTGTGCTGACACAGGGTTTTGCAGCAGCAACAAAAACATTGGCAGCAGTTACCCCAGAAAGAGCTGCCACACAGGTGGACTATGTGTCAGACCCTGGGCAGGTATGTCACATACATTTCTCCCTCTACCCCCAAGGCTGCGCTTTGTGGCAGGTGCTAACAGCCTCACTGCAGAGATGAGAAAAGGCTCTGAGCCCAGAGTTCTCTGCTGGGAAGTATGGGTACCAGTATTTGAATCCATACTTGCCTGACACAAAACCCATGCTCTTCTTTTGCAGTGTTGAGTATGGAACCACATACTCACATGCTAGGCAAGCACTTTATGGCTGAGCTATACTCCCAGCCCCAAACTTGTGAGCTTTTTTAAATTTATTTTTATTTTTTGGTAGTACTGGGGTTTGAACTGAGGGCCTCATACTTGCTAGGCAGGTGCTCTACCACTTGAGCCATTCCACCAGCCCCAAACTTGTGTTCTTGGCCAAAGCCCTTATTCTTGACCTCAGTAGCAGCCACTTCCCACACAGGTACAGAGGTCACCTCCACCTTCTCAACTTCTCCCTCTGCTCTGTGATGCTGAGCACCACCTCCAACCTCCTTCTGAGTGAGCAAAATCACAAACAGCTAACAGGATCCCAAGTGGGGGCTTTCTCTGGAGGAAAAATGTCCTTGAAAAGTCCCTAGGAAAAGAGAGATGATGTCATGGTCTCTGGAGGAAAGGGAAGTCTACAGTTCTTGGTCTGGGGGATGACAAACTTTTGTACTGACAGGGAAGCTGAGCAGAGAGGAGATGGGAAATTTATTGTTCTGGTCTTATTTAAGTGTGATCAATGCTTTGGCCTCCCGAGAAGGACACAGGAGACTAAAAATAACCAGGAGGTAGAGCCCAGGGCACAGAAGGTGAGCAGTGGCTGGCCTGGGTTAGTGAGCAGAACCACCATTGGAAAATGTCCGCAGCCTCAGGAGCCAATTAGCCGCTGGAAAGAGGAGGGACAGGCAGAGAGCTGAGTTCTTCAGGTTCTGCAACAGTGGGGGGGGGGGGGCCAGCCCTGGAACCAGGGCACCTGACCATCTAGATCTGGACATGGAGAATTCCCCCATCAGAACATCATGAGCCATCTGCCTGTCCCCACCACCCCGCTCTGTGTTCAGGAGATCCTCAACCAATTCTTGGCCTCAAGGGAGATAAAATCGCTCAGAAAAAACCCCGAACAATCATGAACTGAAGACTCCCAAGTCCTTCGCCCCTCCTGGGGCAACTATAAATCCTTCTTCACCCCTTTCATGCCTTTTCTCTGGCTTTAATTAGGTATTGATCTATTGTCAGATAAACTTTCTTTTCTTTTTTTTTAATGGCCCAGCCAAAAGGTCAGCCATATATAACAGAGGAAAAAAATCTCAGGGTGGCAAACAAACAGACACAGATCTGAATGACAAAGGATTCCCATGCTCTCCTGGCAGGCAGTCTGAGAAGGCTGCATTGCAGGGCTGCTCAGGGCTGGTTGTCCAGCTCCTCATTAATTACCATTTGGACAGAGGAAGCCCCAGCCTCCCTGGGCTGGCCTTTTCCCTCCCACAGGCCCATGCAAAGCTGCTCCCTTATACTGCCCCAGCATGGTCCACTAGGGACTGAGAGGCTCCAGGGCAGCCTCCAGACAGGGAAGGGTCCCTGCCAGGGTCAAGCCTGCATAACACTGACCTTTCCCTCACCCTACCCATGGTTTAGAGTCTTGACCCTGGGCCAGAGGCCAGCTTGGGACTGTGGCTGCAGTATGGAATAGGGGCATGTTGGACAATTATATGACCTTGGGCAAATGTCCCTGAATTCTTTGGGCTTCAGTTTTCACATCTATGAAATGAAGAAGTTTATGGCTTTCCAAATTTTCAACAGTGAAAACCCTTTTTCAAAAGAAACCTTTCTGGGGTCTCCTAAACCATGATCCACTCTGGCTGAATGGGGGTGGGGGGTAGGGCCTGGGGAGCAAAGCTTGCCATCCAGCAGAGGGGAACTTGAATGTTCTTATCAGGTCAGGAATTCATGGATTGTAGGCTTGGCCAAAGGCTCAGGGGCTGAGGCTCAGATCCTGCTTCCATAATCTTAAATGTAACCTGAACCCACCTGCTCAGGCTCTCCTAAGGTGCCTGTAGATCAGCAGGGAACTGAAAGGATTGGCTGGGACTAATAGAAATATAGTACTAAAGGCCATCCAGGATACATGGGCGAGGCAGGATCTCTTCACTAAGCTCTGAACCTCAGGGATGACAGTTCTATAAGGCCAGGACAAACTCCATGGAGGTTGTGGGGAGAGAACAGCAAACAAATGAACACCTCTCCTCTGCACACTGGCAGAAAAAGGGGCTGGGTCTATTCAGAACCACACATTTTCCAAAACACATTCTGGGTCCATGTCAGCACACAGATGAATTGGTGACCTTGCCATAAGGCACAGCTGTGGTAGTTTGAGCTTGGAAAGTGTTTGTTTGTTTTTGTTTTGTTTTTTGCAGTAGTGGGGTTTGAAGTCAGAGACTTCACCAAATCCTATTTTTGTATTGGGTTTTTTCGAGATAGGGTCTCAGGAACTTTTTGCCCAGGCTGGCTTCAAACTGTGATCCTCCTGATCTCTGCCTCCTGAGTTGGAGGATTTTCAGTGAGCTTGGAAAGTTTTAAGCAGGTATTCTCCAACATCTCCCTTGGCCATCAGAAAAAAATCCATATACTGTTGGGCGCCAGTGGCTCTGGCCTGAAATCCTAGCTACTCAGGAGGCAGAGATCAGGAGGATCACGGTTCAAAGCCAGCATGGGTAAATAATTCCTGAGAACCTATCACACGCACAAAAAAAAAATCAACATGAAGAGGGGCTGATGGAGTGGCTCAAGATGTAGGCCCTGAGTTCAAACCTTAGTACCACAAAAAAAAAAAAAAATCAAATAAAAACTGGTACATCTACCCTTAAGCAATGTAACTTTATTAATTCATGTGTTCTTTTATTTACTGTACAAATATTTATTACCTAATTGGTGCCAGGTTCTGGATAAATACATCGCTTATATCTTATATAATCGGTAATGAAAGGTTGGTGATATAATTAAGATGCTGGTTTTTAAAGTACTTACATGGTTAGCCATAAGTAAGATATATATTGGCCCAAGTGTTGATTAGAAACACAGGGTTCTATCCTAATTCTACCATGTGTTAGGTGTGCAAACTGAACAAATTACTTCACCTCTCTGAACTGCCTTTAAAATGGGGATGACAGTACCCACCTTGTAGAACTGTTGTGATGCATGAGTGATGACATTCACAAACCCGGCATCACATGCCTGGAGCATTACATAGAGGTCAGCTATCCTTACAGAATGTGATGGACTTGGATCTGGAACACTCTTGCTAGGCAGAAATTAGAGAGTAGGGCCAGATATCTATTAGGCCTCCCTTGGTTTCTGATATTAAATTATCTGCACAAAGGAAAAGGCTGACTTTTTAGTTCTCTTCACACTATGTTAGTATTTACAGGACAGAGTTTGGGGTCACATAGCCTGGGCGTGAACCCCTCTCCACCATGTATGAGTTGTGTCTTTTTGAGCAAGTCACTTGTCATTTGTTCTAAGCCTTGGCTTCTGGATTTTGTGTGTGCCAGGGATTGAACCCATGGCTTTCACTTTTATTTATTTTTTTTGGTGGGACTGGGGTTTGAATATGGCCTTCACATATTGAACAAGTACTCTACCACTGAGATACACCCAAAGCCCCCAAGCCTTGGGTTCTGTTTCTGCACCAGGTAGAGAGTAGTAGCATCTGCCACATGGGCTAATTATGAGGATTAAATACAGCTGCCCGTGGTGGGCACAGATAACTACTACTGGCTCTCCAGTCAAGGTCTGGTTCTCTGTAAATGAGCTCTCCTCTGGGAAGAGGGATGGGGGAAGAGAGGGGGGCACTGCATAGGCAGATCAATCAACTCAATCCTGGAGATCAAAGACATGATATGTGGTATCCAGAGTGCCCTCTGGTCTAAAGCAATGACTCAGGCAGAGCCGGGCACACACTTGGCTGGATGCTGCAGACCATTGCCCTCCTATTTAGAGGCTGTGTCTGTATCTCCTCACTCTGCACTGACATCACTGGGGAGTGGTACCCACGCTGTCTCCTCACTGTGTCATCTGTTCTGGGTGAGGTCTGAGTCATTTTGAGTCTTATTTCTGCCTTCCAGGTTATTGGCACCCCCATCTAATTGAGTACTAACTGCAAGTGTTACGAGTGTCTTCCCTGTTCCCCGCCATTTAACATCTGGGACTCTGGGAATCTAGGTATGGAAAAGGTAGATAAAAATTCCCAGATGTTAGGACTAGGAGGTGTGTGGGAGGATGAGCAAGTTTGGAACAGAGGTGCTCACTAGACATTTTTTCCCCCCAGTACTAGGGATTGAAACCTCATTCTTGCTAGGTAAGAGCCCTACCATTTGAGCCACCTCCTACCACCACCCCAAGCCTAGACCTTTGTGGAGGACATGCTAGGTGCTGGATTTTGGAAAAGGTTTATGGAGGTGCCATCCAAGGTTCAAGGTGCTGGCCACATACAGGAGTGATGAGGACACTGCTGGGAGAATCTCAGGCCACGGGTTCACAAACTGGCAGAGGAGTCCTATAGTATAGGGCTGGACCCTTCCCTCTTGATTTCTGAAACTACTTCAGTCACTATCAAGGCTGCCTGTTGTTTACAAGGCCAAAGCTGCCCTGCTCTCCTGATGACAACTTTGATGCCACTCAGGAAGGATTAAGATCTTATTTAAACATACACACAAAGCTCCCTTGGGCACAGCTGTCAAGCTGAAGAGCTGAGACAGCAAACCTTGTAAAAAAAATTTAAAAGAAAAAAAAAAAAAAGCAATGAAGTTGGAAGCTTCACTAGGGAGATCCCTGTGTTTAGAACTGGGCTGGTGAGACTTGTCCTGCAGAAATCTGCTCTGCTCTCCCCAGTTCACTTGTTCCACCTTCCCTCTATGCTTTGCTAGGTGTCAGGTGGAGTCACCCTGACCCAACATCTCCAGGATGGACTGAGAGTCTACTATCTCCTAGGCCAGACTCCTGTCTTCAGAGGGTCAGATAAGGGGACAGTGGCCAATCTGGACAGAGTTAAGTTCTCCCTTTGGGTTCAGGTGTTACCCTGGCCAGGAAGATGCGTGGCTCCAGACTTGCCTTCAATGCCTCTAGGCAACCTCTCTACACAGTTTAAATAGTTATCTCATTTACTGCCTCACTCCAGCCTCCTAACAACCCCACAGGAAGATTTCATTAGTTCCTTCTTTGAGCTGGACAGCCACACCACGGTTTCAGGAATTTCCCTAAACCCACACAGCTACAACATGGCAGTGTGGAAACTGGGTCAGGCTGCCTGTTCCAAATCCTGTGCTTTATTTCCTGTCAGGGTAGCAGTCCCCTTCCAGCCTCCCAAGAATTGGGAGATTCACCTAAACTTTGGTGATAAGATCCTATATGTGACCTAGAAGCCTGGGGTTTGTCCCACTCACAAGGTCTCCCCCAATCCACCTTGAACACAAAGCCCATCTACCTACCTGCTACAACACCAGCCATGTAGACAAGCCCGATGCGGGTGGCTCCATGCACCATCTCTAGAGGCACCCCCACCAGCAGCTGCAGGACCACGTTGAGTCCTAGGTGTTCTATCCTGCAACAGACCACATTCATCCATCCATCCATTCATTCATTCAATAAACACTGTGTACCAAGAGGCTGGGGATCTGGAAGTGAACAAGACTCTGTCTGTGCATTTGAAAGGCTTGCAGTCTGGGGAAAGGAAAGAAAATGTGGCCAGACTATTTGGAAACAATGATCCTTCCAGCTGAGACAGGAATTCACATACAATGACTGACAGTGTCTGCATCTGCCACCCCGACAGGGACTAACCACAGTCAAAATCTAGCAGCTAAACAAGGTCACTTGCGAGAAGGTTCAGAGAGGGGCAGTGACCGGCTTAAAGTCAGACAGCTGGTTAGTGGCTGGGCTGGGACTACTGGACAGGTCTCTGATCTGCCTGACTTACTCCATTCACCAGGCCCTGAGGTCATTCTGGCTCTCTAAGTTATTTGTAAGAGCTATGATACTGAAAAACAAAGATGTTCTCAAAACAAGGGCAAAAAGATCTCCTAACTTAGTAATTCAAAGCTTTCCTGTTAAGCCTAATAAGTGAAGCTTCTCCTTCCTGTGGTAAAAAGCGACCTGTTCCATTCTAACTCTCATGGCTGAGAGAGTGCTCCCCAGGTTTTCTTACCCCATGAATATCTACCTTTGTACACTACTACTAGTCATCTGGAGCCAGATCTTGTCACTAAATGAGTGTTGTATTTAGTCAAGTCCATGTATTATCAGAAAAGATCATAAGGTTACTAATTATTCAATCAATATAGGCTTTTCAAGTTCACAAAGCACTTTAACATCCATTATCTCATTTAAACTGAGGCAACAGCACTTGGACAGCTCCCTGGAGGGTAGGGGTGGGGAGGCAGTTAAGCTATGGAGTAACAGAAAACTTAACAAGGAGGCTGGGTCTTGGCCTGGGTCACAGCCCTGCCCTGGTCAGCACAGTCCTGCCTGGAGGCCCAACTGGACTATGGGGGTCTTTCTGCTGAGAACCAGGCATGATGGAGACCTGAGGGCCGGAATGATCCCCTTGCTATTTCTACTCAGGTCAGGAATCCTAGGAGCCTTTCCCAAGCTATCAATGAGCTCCCTCACTTCTCTGGAGGGGCTGGAGGAGACACAACCATGCTAGTGTCTGGGGTTTGCTTTCCCAACTCAGGCTTCTGCCATGGAAGAGCAGCCTCTAGCCAAGACTTCTGCTCTTCAAGGGACTTGAACCTGGGTGGCCACCTGGACAGCTGGTACGTCCTGCAGCAGAAGGCACCAGTGAGAGCTAATTCACCCCAGTCCCAAAAGAGGCCATGGGGCTCTATGAACAGAAACTATAATTATTGCCAGAGATCCCCAGAAAACCCTCACCACATATGCAAAGTGGTTCCAATAAATTAGTCCTTTATTTCACTTACAGGGTCACTCATACACATAGCTTATGAACAACAACTCTGGTGGCTGATCACATCCTCCTCTTTGCTTTGGTCACTAGGAAGTGCAGAACAAATTTTCAAGCTACCTCTAGCAAATAAATACATAGAATTGTGCTGTGTATGTGTGTGCTGATCTCACAGATGGCTTTCGGCATTTTCCTCTCTCTTTTTTCCTTTCACATATACTCTCAATGACTGACTTGTATATCTGGGTATCAGATGAGTTTCAAGTATCCATCTCAAATCCTGTGTCCAAGTGAATAAAAATACACTAAAACCTCTATTACAGGGCCTGGATGTATAGCTCAATGGTAGAGTGCTTGCCTAGGATGTGCAAAGCCCTAGGTTCAATCCTCAGCAACATACACACACACACAAATATATATGCATATGTAAATATGTGTGTAATATGTGTGTATGTACTTTATCCCAGGCAAGCTGGACCACTCATTTCTCTTCTCTGTGGAGACTCCTGGCACGGAAAGAAGACAGGTACTCACCCCGCATGCATGAAGATGTATGTCAGGTAGCGCCAAGCCTGTGCTCGGAGCTGAGGGTGGTAAACCAGTGAGTTCTTCAGGTAGTGTGGATGGGTCACCTGCAGCACAAACTGATCAAGAGACACCCCATTGTAGAGGAAAAAGGCAACCTGGGTGAAGCACAGAACGGAGGAGACCTGTTACTAGGCACAATTCTGCCCAGGGACCTCCCTCTCATGCTGCCACAGGGAACCCTGCAAAAGGCACCTCTATTCCTCTCTTGGAGAATGAAAGACACCCCACAGCACAGCCAGCGCCCAGTCAGCATCCAAACATCCCTCACCCCACTTCTGTTTGACCTTTTGCTACATGGTTACAACAGGGTCACACTGGTCTCTTTGGCCACACTTCCTTGGGGGAGTTGGACATTTTAACACTAGTAATAACTTACTCAGCTATTCCACTATCACCTTGTGTTCACAGAACTTGCAGATCTGAAACTTTGGACCCATTCAGCAATAATTCCCCATTCTCCCCGTCCCCTCCAGGTTCTTCTGACTTTCAGTCTACATGAACTGACTACTCCAGGTACAGCATATAATTGGAATCACACAGTATTTCTCCTGTGACTGTGTAGCATATATTCCTTTTTAAAGGCTGAGTAATATCCCATTGTATGTATCTAGCACATTCTTTTACATCCATTCATCTGTCAAGGGACTTTTTTTTTTTGCAGTACTGGGGATCAAACCCAGGGTGTGTACACTAGGCAAGCATTTAACCACTAAGCCACATCCCCAACACCTCCATGGACATTTTTGGCCATTGTGAGCAATGTGGCTATGAAACATGGGTGTACAAATATCTCTTCTAGTCCCTGTTTTCAACTCTTTTGATATACACTCATAAGTGCAATTCCTGGGTCATATGGTAGTTCTGTTCAGGTTTTTGAAGAAATGCCAGAATTTTTTCCATAGTGGCTGTACCATCTTACATTTCCACCAACAGCACACAAGGTTTCAGTTTCCCCACATCTCCACCAACACCCCACGTAAGTTGATTTTGCAGATAGGCCTACTTATTTAGACCCTAAAAGGGTATTTTTTTCCAAAATGATTTCTAAAATGCATCATTTATATCTCTGGGGTTTTTTTGTTTTGAGGTTCTAGGGTTTGAACTCTCAGGGCCTGTCGATTGCTAGGCAGGTTCTCTACCACCTGAGCTACATCCTCAGCCCTTTTTGCTTTATTTGTTTTTTGAATAGCATCTTGTATTTGTATGCATGCCAGACAGGATTCTCCTGTTTACACCACAATCCTCCTGTAGCTAGGGTAACAAGTGTGTGCTGCCACCCTCAACTGTTAAGATGGGAGGTCTCAACTTTTTGCCCAGGCTGGCCTTGAACCACAATATTCTTGGTCTTTGCCTCCTGAGTAGCTGGGATTACAGGCATGAGCCACCATCGCTGTCCCTGTTTTGTTTTGGTTTTTTGCAGTTTGATCTCAGGGCCTTGTACTTGTTAGGCAGGCACTCTATCGCTTGAGCCACATCACCAGCCCCATCCCTGTGTTCTTGATCAGGGTATGTGCAGAACCATGTAAGGATATCTAAGTCTAGGCTATGATAGTGATGTCTTTTCCATCAATCAAGATGGATGGAGTTTCCTCTCCTACACTGGCCCAAATTCTTGTGTTTAAGACTGAGGTCTACTTTTAAATATTCTTTTATTATTTCTCTCACTGTCAAATTGTCAGCTGTTAACTTCTTATTGCTTGCTGGTATTGGGCCTGTCTAGTAGCTTTCCCCATGTTCTTCTATTCTCTATTTGCACTGAAATCAGAGAATTAGTTTCTTTTAGATTGATGGTTCAAGTTTACATTTGGAAATCAGAACCAATTTAGACACAAAAACCAATCTGGACAAAACTGGTTATATTATTTTGAATTACTGGTCCTCGGCTTCCTTATCTGGAAATGGTACCAATGGATACACTTCCAGAGTAGTTAAGAGGCTTAAAAGTGATTAAGTATTTGGGCACAATGGCACACACCTATAATACTAGTACTTGGGAAGCTGAGGTAGGAGGATCATGAGTTTGAGGTTGGCCTGGACTACACAGCAAGACCCTGTCTCAAAATAATCCCACCCCCCAAAAAAAGTGATAAAAACACAAAGAATCACCCCCATGACCAACACTCACAGAGAAGGAAGCTATAACTAGTGTCGGGTTTAAACTGTCTGGGCTAAACCTGGGAATGGCTTAGGCCCCCAGCAGCTGTGTCTCTGGGGCTCTCTGAGAATCTATTCTATCCACCTAACACCACATGGTGGCCTGGCAGCAAATACCGCTTCCAAGCCAACTCATTATTATTAGTCTTCAAATAGAAGTTAATAAATAGACCAAAGCAATAAGCATTGCTTATTCTTGGAATGAGTCCAAGAATATCTCAGAAAAATCGCAACCACAATATGTACTTAGATGAAGCCATAACAATTAGAGGAGCTGTGGTCTGCAGACTGGAAATTTCTGATTTAGCAAAAGAGAAGAAGAAAGATGCCACGAAGCTGAAGGATCCTGCCATTTGATTAGGCAGGAACTTTACAAGAACATATGCAGAGGCAGTGATTAGGTCCGGGGCTTTGGAAGAGAAACAGTGGAAGAGCCTAACATGCCAAAGGAAAGTGAAGCATGCATTTAGGAGCTTGTGGTAGGGTGGGCTATTCAGGTTCCTGAGTTGAACAGTCAGGAGAATGGAGTTCCATCTCACAGGGGCACACAACACAGAAGACAGTACCTTTGCACTCTGTTGCCTAAGCAGGTGACCTTTTTTTTTGCATGACAGTAGGTATAGCTGATTCCCTAAGAGGAAAATGTTCTTTAAAAATAAGTTATGGAGTGGAAGCGTGGCTCAAGTGGTAAAACTCCTGCTTTTCAAGCTTGAAGCCCTGCATTCAAATCCCAGAACAACCCAAAATAAATAAATAAATAAAAGTTAAGCCTACCTTTACTTGTTCATACACCCTCCCTCCCAGAGAAATCTGTGTGTGATGCTTCTTTTGTGTTTAGAAAATACCCACAGCCACTCTCACTGTAAACAGAGGGGTCCTGCCTTCCTATGGCAGCACCAGCACAAGTCTTGTTATACCTGCACTACAGGTGAGAACTGAAGTCCTAGGGAGTCAGTAGTTGGTTCACTTTGCCCACCTGGGGAAGAACTAAAATAAACTGGTTTTACTGAGTTTGCCTTGCTAAATCCCCAACTCCATGAACTTTCTGCAGTTTCTGTTGCTGTTGTTTTGGTGGGTGTGGCCACAGAGGGACTTTGCTACAAAAATTGCTTGTAGTAATTGCTTTGAAATATCTCTTTGCAGTCTACAATTCAACAACACTTGCATTCACTGTAACAGGTCTGTCATCTGATCCTCAACCATCACCCTTCAGGGGAGGAGACTCCCCACTCCCCTCATGATATTCTTGTGGCTGCTCTCCCCATCCTCCCCCACCCTTGTCCTTGCCTCCAGCAGTGTGATTGTGATCATGAACCAGGGCGGGGGACAGCAGGTATAGCTGTCATAGTACCACTTGCGGTCAATCTCACGGGGCAGGGTCTTGTAGGCCACGTGGCGGATCAGTCGCTGCGAGAGGCTCAGCCCCTTCTCCTCCAGCAGGGCTTTGCTGCTCAACCTGCGGTTGCCCTGTAGAATGGCCTGGCGGAAGCTGTTGGACCGTTTGTTGCTCATCTGCGCAGGCAATGGGATGGGGAGATGATCAGAGCAGGGGCTTCTGGGAAGCCTCCACCCACTTCCCAGCTAGCATGTTCCTTAGAGCAGGCCAAACCCCACGGTCCCTGTGCTCTTATGATGTGGCACTTCACATGTGTTGACTCATTTGGTGTTCACAAGTAATCCACCTGTTAGATAAGGACTACGAATAGGAAGCCCACCAAGTTCAAACCCAGAGCCTGTATTCATATTCACTCTATCTTCCTTTCATCTGCCCATCACAATTTACTGAGCAACTACTTAATGTCAGGACATAGAAGTGACCAGCAGTCACAGTTCAGAGTCAGTGAGGGCTTCCTGGAGGAGGTACTGGCTGGGTGGGAGCCTCAGAGTAAGTAGAAGGCAGCATCTTCAGATATGCTGGCTTAGGAAGACTGGAGCAGCCCTTAGCTGGATGGTTCTAGAGGGAAGCCTTCCCAGACCAGAACTGAGAGCCCTGCTGTGAAAGCTGCCACTCCTGAGTGCTTCCCGGAACCTGTGATGCCTGGCAAGCCCAGGGCCTGGTGATGGGTCCCCAGGCCTGCTGCTTCCTTCAGCAGCCTTGCGATGTACTAGTGGAGCTTGAGATGCCTCTCCCAGCAGTCAGCTTGACTTCCAGCCTCCAGGAGCCTTTGTACCCCAACCTGCCTTCCAGGGACACATTCCAGACCCTTGAGGGAGAAACTAGAGACATAGCTCTCCCTGCCCCAGAACCTAGATGCCCAGTGGCTGCTGAAGTGGCAATTATCCATGTATTCTGGGAGTAAATCACGGCCACCAGTACTTCAAGGGCTAGAAGTGAATGGCAGATCAGATCTGAAGGTTGGAGCCAAGCAGTGCTGGCAAGGTGAACCAGGCTGCAGCAAGGCACAAGGGGATGAGCCCTGTCAATGGAAGGCAGCTAAGAGGATCTGTGTTTAGACCGGGCCAGGTAGTGGGATCCTCCCTGCTCAGTCCCCTCCTTAGAACTCAGCCCTACTGTCTCTCACCTTCAATATCTGGCTTCAAGCCCACCCCCTCCAGGAAGCCATCCTAAATGAACCCTTTCTACCATGCCCACCTTCATCCCTTCCAGCTTATAAAGCTTGGCTCTGTCTCAGTGGCTCAGGAGCTCTGTAAATGCAGGTGTGAGCCAGGGCTCCCACAGACATCATGGGCCCCAAATAGGATCTCACTGTCAAATTATTTTGTAGCTACTCTTCTCCCCAGTCCTGGAGGGTGCACATGCATAAAGCACACACAGCATACATGCACATACAGCATACATGCTCATACACACACACTCCTGGCCAAAGCATAAGCACAGGAGAAGCAGTGTGTGCACACTCACCGTTCAGCTGTGTCCTGGACGGGCCCAGAGCTATGGGAGGCCTAGTTGTAGTGGTGGTCTTGGGCCTCACAAAGTTTACAGGGAGATAAGTACAAACAGCAGCAAAAAAGGGGGGCATCTTAATTACCTTGCATGTGGTCATATTCCCTCATCAGGAAGATAGGGACTGAAGCTTTGGGAGGGTAAGTCACTACCCTACAACCCCAAAGTAAATCACACAGCCAGGATTCAAATCCAGATCACACTAGCCCATGTGGAGCTTTTATGATGATCAGATAAAGGAGCTTCTTCAAAGCCTTGGTGAGCAAAGTTGAGGCCAGATCTCAGTCAGGCATCCCTATACAGTACACAACTTGCACGTCTATAGGTGACAACCCTGTCTGCTCAGCTGTATGCAATGTCGTCTCTGCTATGAGGCTGAGAAAAGCACAGTAGGGGCTCTGGATTTGTTCTGCATGGGATGGGGTAGGAAAAACCTCACAAAAGATGCAGGGAAAGAGGTGGACATGTGGCTCAAGTAGTAAAGCACTTGCCTAGCAGGCACAAGGCCATGAATTCAAGCCCTAGTACCACCACCACCACCAAAAAAAAAAAAAAAAAAAAAAAGCAGGGAGTTTACCTGGTAGAAGAACATTCAGAGACAACGGAAACTTTCAAATATAGTTTTATCATATTTGATCCTTGCAGTAACCCTGAATGAACCTTTGGGCTCCTTTTACAAATGGGTCACAAAGGCCCAGAGGATCTTTCCCAGCAAGTGGCAAAGGCAGATTGAGGACCTAGCCTTCTGCCCTACCCAGAGCTCCCTCCCTGATGCGTCCCTTCTATGTTGAGTCTCTAGGGAATTCAGGCTGTGGCTGGCCACTCCAGCCCAGAAAAATTCCAACTATGGCACAGCCATCACATGCTTTCCTGAGTTCACACAGAGAGTTCCACTGGCGCCCAGCTGGACAGAAGCACCTCTCTGCCCAGCATGCCCTCCCTATGCCCTAGGACCGGGCAGGTATCTTGTACACACATGACGGCATTGGGGCTGTGCAGGCTTAGACCCGTGGCCTGTTCTTTGGTGGCACTGCTAGGTTCCCTGTCACAGGACTCACTTCCACTGCCCGCGCTATGAATCCCACTGCCCCCACTATGAATCCCACTGCCCCCACATCCCCTCTCAGTTCCACTCTCCCAGGCTTCAGGAGCTCTGCTCCCTAGGTCTGCTCTGAACAGAAGATCACACACCTCTACAGCCCTGCAGTAGCTCTCTGAAAACCTGCTAACCCCTGGACTGAGAGACTGTTACAGAACCCACTGCTTTGGCACCTGCCTCATGGACAGCTGGCATGGCACAATGACAGCTATGAGAGGTGTGGGCTCCTCACCCCCAATTGATGCCTCTGGATTCTAGGAGCCTGAAGGTCACACATTTAATTTCATGCTTGCCCCCTGCATGGGTGACATGAAAAGAGGTGGACCACCTCTATCACAGTACTAGGAAAACCAAGCGAAGACTTCTGGTCCTGTATTCATCTTGGTAATTAACACAGTTTCTACTAAGTTCCTGTCCATCACAGTGGCTAAAATCCTGCCTGCTTAAACCCACTGGAGCCCACTTCAATGCTGCCGTGGTAGCCCCTGCAATAGCACAGCATTAACCCTCAGGAAGGAGGAAGTCTCCATGCCAAGACACCAGACCACAGGGCAGGACTCACGAGTCTTCCATCTCCAGCTCCTGTGACAACCTTGAGCACCTGCCAGCAGGTCTGCTGATCTATGGCCTCCACCCATGTGCTGCACTACTAGTAGGGAGGTCTGGCTCACCCCAGCTCCTTCTTCTGCCAACAATAACCTCCCCACTCCTGTCCTTCATTTTGGAGGAACTGACCCCACTTTCAGCTCCAGGGATGGGCACTGATTGATTTAAGTTTGTTAATAAATACTGCTGACCCAAGCTAGGCCAGTGAAAGGGAAGACATCCCAGGCCTTTTGCAGGAGCTACCATAAGAAGAGACTCTCTTTCTTTATATGGTATGGACTGAGGGTGTGAGGGCTCAAACAGTGCAGTCACCTCGAGCCACATAAGAGGGTCTGGACTTGCCAGAAGCTGCTTTGAGGATGGCTTGATACAGAAGGCAGAACCCAGGGACAAAGAGAAAGCTGGTCCTCAGTGGTATTCGTTCTCTTGCCGAAGCCTGGGTTTTTTTAATGCTGTGAGCCAACAGACCCATCCCAGTGCAAGGGCCCCAAGGTGCTCACCAGGTTGACAAAATCCTGGTAGCAGATCTGCCCATCTGCATGGCTGTCAGCGAGAGCCAGGAGCACCTCCTTTTTGCGCGGGTCCAGCTTGGAGCTGTGGCTCTCCAGGAGGCTCCGGAATTTGTCTGTGCTGATGTAGCCCGTGTTCCCAGGGTCAAACTGAGGGAGAAGCAGAGAGCAGTGGGGTCAGCAGGGCACCACCCCCTCTCAGCACTGATGCAGAACCCATGCAGTGCTCCTGCCTTACCCTCTGCCCACAGAGGCCAGGTGGTGTCTGGGATCTTTCCAAGGCACCTGTTCAGGATCACCCAACCTAACCATGTTGAGAAGAGAAAAGGAACAGGTGCAGAGAGGTTAAAGCACCTCTTCTACACCCTTATTCCTGATGGTGGACAGGAAAGCAGAAACAAAGGGCTACAGACAGAGGGAGGCAAGGAGCTTCTAGGAACAGGAGAGATGGCAGTGAGAAAAAGGTGTTTGAGAAGACCTTCCTGGTGACAGGCAAGCAGGAGGGGCTCAGTCAAGGGACTGCAAGGGGAATGTGGAGGCCTGGTCTGGTCTGGCCTGGTCTTCTACACCTGGCTGCAGCCCCTCCCAGTGCTTCACTCACCCAGGCAGGACTGGCAGACTTTCCAAAGATTCATTATCTGTTTATGTTTAGAGAGTGTGCATTTTCCACCATTCTCTTTTCCTCTACAGCTTTGTACCCGTGGGTCCCTCCATTTAGGATTGTCTTTCCTCCCTCATCATCCTCATCACTCTCCCAACTACTCCGATGTCCCTTTCTGTCCTTCTCAGCCTGATCCCTGCACCCCGGGTAGCCTGCGGACCGCCCCCACACACAGTCTCTTACTCTCTCTGCCTACTCACTGGACTGCGGCTCCTCAAAGGCTGGTTCTATACCTGCTCCTGGGTGCTCAGAACAGAGCCTTCATCATAAGCACTCAATCAAGAATAGATGGGATGTTCGGATAAAAAGACAGGCACTAATTTTCCATGAAATGCCTTGTGGGTTCAGTTAGAAAAACCCATTCATCTCTCCCAGAGAAGACTTTAACCTTTCCGCCCCTCCTTCCTCACAGAGCCCACCCATGTCCACCCTCAATTGTTCCCTGCCAGGAAATGATACTTCATCTCTTGTCTCTTACTGTGCCGAGCATCCCTCCTAGCAAAGGGCTTCCCCACATGAGACCCCAGTGTCTCTCTGGAGATGCTGCTGTGGATTGCTTAAGTTTTAAAAGGCAATGGATGGCCTCTGGGTGTGGCTCAGTGGTAAGGCGCTTGCCTAGCATGTGCAAGGCCCTGAGTTCAAGCCACAGCACCTCAAAAGTAAATAAAAGGCAACATGTGTGTAGGACAAGAGAGTCGGGCAGGCCAAACCACTCACATTCTCCTCTACTTTTTTTCCTTTCACTTTTTTGAGACAAGGTCTCACTATTTGGCCTAGGCTGGTTTTAAACCTCAGCCTCCTGAGTGCTGGTATTACAGGTAGGCACAACCATGCCCTGCACATTTCCCCTTTTTCTGCATAAAGTTAATGAAGACTATTTTGGGAAATCAGGTTGTGTGTGCAATGTTTCTAAGACAATCCAAGAGAAATAACCAGGAGTTACAGTCACGGACTATTTCAGTTCTCTGCAGAACTCCACATGAGGACATCTCTAAAGAGGCTGATTGTCATTAGCATTTCTATACACTAACAATGAGCAAACGGAAAAAGAATGTATGAAAACAATTCCATTTACAATAGCCTCAAAAAAAATCAAATACCTAGGTGTAAACCTAACAAAACATGTGAAAGACCTCTATAAGGAAAACTATACACTTCTGAAGAAAGAGATTGAGGAAGACTATAGAAAGTGGAGAGATCTCCCATGCTCATGGATTGGTAGAATCAACATAGTAAAAATGTCGATACTCCCAAAAGTAATCTACATGTTTAATGCAATTCCCATCAAAATTCCAATGACATACATTAAAGAGATTGAAAAATCTACTGTTAAATTTATATGGAAACACAAGAGGCCACAAATAGCCAAGGCAATACTCAGTCAAAAGAACAATGCAGGAGGTATCACAATACCTGACTTCAAACTATATTACAAAGCAATAACAATAAAAATAGCATAGTACTGGCAAAAACAGACATGAAGACCAGTGGAACAGAATAGAGGACCCAGATATAAAGCCACACAATTATAACCACTTGTCTTTGACAAAGGCGCTAAAAATATACAATGGAGAAATAGCAGCCTCTTCAACAAAAACTGCTGGGAAAACTGGTTAGCAGTCTGCAAAAAAACTGAAACTAGATCCATGTATATCACCTTATACCAACATTAACTCAAAATGGATCAAGGATCTTAATATCAGACCACAAACTCTAAAGTTGATCCAGGAAAGAGTAGGAAATACTCTGGAGTTAGTAGGTATAGGTAAGAACTTTCTCAACGAAACCCCAGCAGCACAGCAACTAAGAGATAGCATAGATAAATGGGACCTCATAAAGCTAAAAAGCTTCTGTTCATCAAAAGAAATAGTCTCTAAAGTGAAGAGAACACCCACAGAGTGGGAGAAAATATTTGCCAACTATACATCAGACAAATGACTGATAACCAGAATATATAGGGCACTTAAAAAACTAAATTCTCCCAAAACTAATGAAACAATAAAGAAATGGGCAAGTGAACTAAACATAATTTTTTCAAAAGAAGAAATTCAAATGGCCAGAAAACACATGAAAAAATGCTCACCATCTCTAGCAATAAAGGAAATGCAAATTAAAACCACGCTAAGATTCCACCTCACCCCTGTTAGAATAGCCATCATTAGCAACACCACCAACAACAGGTGTTGGCGAGGATGCGGGGAAAAAGGAACCCTCTTACACTGTTGGTGGGAATGTAGACTAGTACAACCACTCTGGAAAAAAATTTCGAGGCTACTTAAAAAGCTAGACATTGATCTATCATTTGATCCAGCAATATCTCTCCTGGGGATATACCCAAAAGACTGTGACACAGGTTACTCCAGAGGCACCTGTACACCCATGTTTATTGCGGCACTATTCACAATAGCCAAGTTATGGAAACAGCCAAGATGCCCCACCACTGACGAATGAATTAAGAAAATGTGGTATCCACTCTTGGGGATATACCCAAAAGATTGTTACTCCAGAGGCACCTGCACATCCATGTTTATTGCGGCACTATTCACAATAGCCAAGTTATGGAAACAGCCAAGATGCCCCAGCACTGACGAATGGATTAAGAAAATGTGATATCTATACACAATGGAATTCTATGCAGCCATGAAGAAGAGCGAAATGTTATCATTCGCTGGTAAATGGATGGAATTGGAGAACATCATTCTGAGTGAGGTTAGCCTGGCTCAAAAAAACCAAAAATTGTATGTTCTCCCTCATATGTGGACATTAGATCAAGGGCAAACACAACAAGGGGATTGGACTATGAGCACATGATAAAAGCGAGAGCACACAAGGGAGGGGTGAGGATAGGTAAGACACCTAAAAAACTAGCTAGCATTTGTTGCCCTTAACGCAGAGAAACTAAAGCAGATACCTTAAAGCAACTGAGGCCAATAGGAAAAGGGGAACAGGTACTAGAGAAAAGGTTAGATCAAAAAGAATTAACCTAGAAGGTAACACCCACGCACAGGAAATCAATGTGAGTCAATGCCCTGTATAGCTATCCTTATCTCAACCAGCAAAACCCCTTGTTCCTTCCTATTATTGCTTATACTCTCTCTACAACAAAATTAGAAATAAGGGCAAAATAGTTTCTGCTGGGTATTGAGGGGGTGGGAGGGAGAGGGTGGGGGCAGAGTGGGTGGTAAGGGAGGGGATGGGGGCAGGGGGGAGAAATGAACCAAGCCTTGTATGCACATATGAATAATAAAAGAAAAAAAAAAAGAGGCTGATTGTAAAATCCAGGTATTTACCCACCACTCTCCACCTGAAATACTAGAATTCATGGATGACATCTATTTGGTTCTCACCCTATTCCAGAAATATCTTCATTTCTGACATTTGCTGAGTGTTTTCATTGTGTCAAACAGTACTTTAAGCACTTCTGTACAGATTTTCTTTGACCTCCTCCCATAACAGATATAGCAGATTGTATTATGATCCTCATATTACCGATGAGGAAAGAGAGGCACCAGCAGAGTTAGGATTCACATCTGGGCAGCTTGGCCCTCTGCTGAAAGCCACTGCTGGCTGCCACTGACCTTCAGTTCCAAGGGCTGTTTTGCTGATCAGAGGCAAAATGAAGGATTAGAGCTGAGCACAGCCCCAGACCTGGGAGAGGCAGGGGATCCTCTATGGTCCTACCCAAAACAGAAATTTATGCAGCAGGAAAGAGCCCCAAACATCAAGTCTTGGCCTCCTTATTGCTCAGATGCAAAAACTTAGCCTAGATAGGGACCATGGCAATGGCTGGCAGAGGGTGCATTCCTTGGTGCCTTGGACCCCCTTCATCCCTGAGAGCCTCTTGGACCCACCCGGATTCCATTTTGGGAATGCACTAGCCTAGTTTTCGCCTGCTCTCACATGGACCTCAGTGCTGGGTGGGCAGATGGGGCACAGACATGTTTGTGTGTGTGTGCGTGTGTGTGTGTACGTGCGTGCCTGGGAAGAATCCCAATGGGCCCTGTAAGGGAGCAGTGGTCTGCTGCACAGCATGGACTCCCTCTTGCCTCAGCAGGGGGGAGGAAGCCCAATGGTTTTGCATGTGCTGGGAGCAGGGATGTCAATCCCTTCCCAGGGGCCTCCTTGAAGGCTGGGGAGGGCAATGAGGTAAGGGTCTGGGATCAGGCAGCAGACAAAGAGCCACCTGCTCTCTTCCTTGCCCTCCCCTTCTCTGTGGCTCCCTGCTGTTGCCCTAGTGACAGGAGCTGCCCTGTGGCTCCCTGGTCCCCAGCCCCCACCCTGGCCTGCTCACCCTGTCCGAAGCACATTACAGGCTCTACATTTTTACTCAAAGAACTAGCTGGAATCATGCCGAGCCTCCATTCTCTGCCAAAACTCTATCTTTCATGCCAGGGCCAGACAGGCCAGACAATGCAGGGTCACCACTACCTTAATAATGAGGCCTCAGGGACCAGAGAATCACTAGTGGGGAGAGAGAGGCAGGGATAGG